AAAAAAATAAATCATTATAAAACATACGGAATTTTGATATAGAATCATTAATTACGTATACAAACCTTATAAAAAACATATCATTTCCTTATTTCGATTTCTTATAGGGTATATATAATAAATTATTTATTAACTATAAATTATTTTTATAAAATTTTATAAGTACTTAGTAATTAATATTTATTAATTATTTTTTTTAAAGTAATATAATATATTTTTTTAAAATTAATATATTTAATTCTAAAAATAAAGAATTTGATTTTGAAAATTTAATATATAAATATTATAATAAAAAAAAAATAAACTAATAAAAACTAATATTTTACTTATATATTAAAATGATTTTTTAATAAAATAAATTCAGATTAATATTAATATAAAAAAATTTTAGAGTCTTATTCTTTTTTACTATAAAAATGTTTATATTATTATTTTTTTTTTTTTAAAAAGTATTTAATATATTAAATATTATTAAATCAGTTTTAAAATTATATATAATTTTAATTAATATTAAGTATATTTTAATAAATCAATTAATAATTAAAATGTTAAATTAAAATCATATTAGTTATATTATATTAATATAAATAGTATAAGAAATTTAATTTAGTTATTTAATATTAAAAATATATTTTCTATTTCAAATTTATTTAGTTAAATAATATTATTATACAAAGATAACATAGATAATCTAGATAATATATATGATTATAATGACTAATTTTCATATGTCTTCTATATCCTATATATTATATAATATTTATATGGGAACTTTGTTATAGAAAGGGAGGAAATTCTAAAAAAATTTAAATTTTATTTTATAAGTTAATTATGATTTTTTTAGTAAATTAAGTTCAAATTTAACATTAACTCAAAAAAAATTTTTTTAGAGTTTTTTTTCTTTCTATTTGCAATGCTCCTATATATTATATATATATTATATTTTTATTACATATACAATTGCTTTAAAAAAAATGTAATATTTTAACTTTAAATATGATTTTATATTTATTTTAAACCTTAGAAAATAACCAATAAAAATTTGAAGTATATTTATTAATACCAGTTTTGCATAATTTTGCGATTAACATAAACATGATTTTATTTAATGAATTTAAGCATTTTTAAGTAAATGGATTACTAAAAACTAACATTAAATTTCAAATCTTCTCAAAGTGAAGATTTTAACAAGCTAAAATTTATCTAAATTAGATTAGTAAATCAGCAAATAATTAATTTACAAGATCATTTAGTATATATAAAAATACATTTAATCATATTTATATTTTTACATAATAACCTTAGATCAATTTTTCATTAATCTACTGATCCAATTTTAATTTGACGAATTTTAGCTTATTGAAATCATCCTATTGAGAAGAATTGGAATACAGTATCAGTTTTTTAGTAACTGACTTACTGAAAAATTTTTTATCACTAAAATTTTATTAAATAAAAATATTTATATTGATTGTATAATTGCATAAAACTGGTATTAATAATTATATTTCAAAATTTTTATTAGTTATTCTTTAAGATTTAAGAATTAAAATAAATATAAAATCATATTTTTAACATGAATAGATAATTTTTGAAGTTAAAATATTAGTGATAAATTACCTTTAGAAATTGTATATCTGTATTTCTTATATTTCTTATATGCTTTTGAATATTCTAGAAAATTATTTTATAAATATGCTTTAAGTCTTAAGATAACAAATAGTATTTTGAATTAAATACTAGATTAGTCAACATTAAATGGTTTATTTTGATATAAAATATTTGTATAGTATAGAACACTGACAAAAATAATATTCATTTGTTAATACATATTTAATAAATCATTAATCTATTTGATTTAATCTATAATCTACCTATAAACCTTATACCTTCTGCTTATCATAACAATACTTATAATTTCTAAGTAACTTAAAGAACTGGCCATAATAATATATAGTATTAAAATTTTTTATTTGATATTTATTGTATATTATTTATTTTAAATTCTTTGACTTAAATATTATATTATATGATCAGCTAAAACAAGCTAAGATTTAATTAATTTTTTTATAAAGATGAATCAAAATTATGTAAATTATAAGATATTTTTTATTTTATTAAAGATAAAATTGATATATATTATTATATAGAATAGAAACTATTTTTTTTTTGTAAAAATATATTAAATACTGGTATTATAGAAGCAAGTAGTAAATTTTAATAATGTAAAACAACTAATAAATAGTTATATTAATAATATTAATAATATTATTTATCTTCTAATTAATTTATTATTTTTTTTTTTAATATTTTCAGATAAAAGATAATGATATTATATTTATTAATAGTTTACTCAATAGCTTTACCTTCTAACTCTTTATTATATGTATCTACGTATAAATATAATTTCTTGATCATCACCTTCACCTTCTTTAATAACTTTTTCTGATTCAATAATCTTTTTTTATAAAGGTAGGTTTTCTGATGCATATTTAAGATGATTACCTTTTTTTTTGAATAATTTACTTATCAGCTATTATCTATTGTTTTTAAGAAGCATAAAAAGGGTATTAAATAAAATCAAAAATCAAATCAAAAATCATGAAAACCTTGATTAGGATCGAAAATCTAAAAGATCAATAATTTGGGCTAGCATTATCTTTATCATAGCGTCGGTCCGAATTATACTAATAAAGTTGCATTCATTTTTGTTTCAAATTTGTGCCGATCAAATAAATCTAACCGGATTTTATTTTTCCTAATTGGGAGTAATTTTCATGTATATACAGTATATAGATATTTTTACATGATTTAAAGAAGCAAGATTTCTTTTTATTTCATCAGTAATGCTATTTTGAATAAATATAAGTAAAGACAATAAACAAAGCTGATATTAAATGAATAAAGGAAGATTAAAAGATTAAAGTTAATAAAATCGTTCTTTTTAAAGCCAAATTCGTTTGCACCTTCTTTTTTTTTTTAGGAATATTCAATACAAACGAATTTTCTCTTAATAAATGGGTCTCAATTTATCCTTTTATATGCAAGATGAAGATCTTTTCATGAATTTCGAGAACCTAACATTTTTATGATTGGTCCCAAAACATTTTAGGTTTTTTGTGAACACAAATATGTCTTAAAAGAAGTTCTAAAAAAAGGACCCTAACAAAACCTGTGCGCCATAAACTGTTACATATATTTGAATATGAATATTAAAGATTTTCTTAAAAAGTCTTATTAGTTGATAACAAAATTCTGCGCTAATTAAGATTGGTGAGATTTTATTAAAGAAGTGCAAAAAATTAAGTTAAACAAATAACAACTTGTTCGCTATAATTAGTAAATACCAAGGTAGCTTTTTAAGGAGTGACATTATTATGGCGAATTTTTTGTAGAGAAAATCCGAACAAAAAAAGTGCCCAATTGTTACATATACTGTAAGTGAAACTTTTAAGGGATATTTACCAAACATAATTGAATGATAAGGATTGTTTTATTAAAACAAATAGAGTTACATAATTCGGTGAAATAATTTAAAAAAATTCCGGGTAAATGTAAAAAATTGCCCAATTCAAATAAAATTCATTTCCGTTTTTGACTAGCCCCATAAAAAGATTTACCCAAAACAAAAACCATTAAATTTTAAATTGTGCAAAGCAGATCTGACCAAGTTCAAAAAAATTTAGAATCTCAATATGCGTATTTAGAACCCCAAATAAAATCACGTTTTTAAAAATTTCCTTTAATATTCACCCCAATAAAAATTTTTAAATGACAGATATGGTAATGAAATTTTTTTTTTTAATGGGGATTCAAAAAAATAATTAACTGTCGAATTGGCATTTTTCGTAACGATATCATTATGTAAAGTTTGGCACATAAACCATTTGGCCAAAGCCAAGCCCAAATGACACAAAACGGTTGAGCCCAACACTTTTTGAAAGACTTGAGTTTTAAAAAAAGTAAGGATGTACATTAAACATTTTAGGGTAATGTTACATTTGTTAACATTGAGTAACTTACAATAAGAAAAAGTTTTTGTCCTGTCGTGGCAAATTTTTTTTAAATTTAAATTTATTAAATGCAGGAAGAATGCCAAATTTTGATTAACATATAAATATATCATGAAAATTCTTCTTTTTCCCATATCTTACTTTTTCAAACTATAAAAAAGTAAAATTTTTTTTTTAAACTTTTTAATTATTACCTAAATATTTCTTTTATTTTTTTTTTAAAAAAACAAAAAAACCATGTCTACCTTCGTTGACGAACCAATTGTATCATCGCCAATTAACGCAAAGTCATTCAAAATTCCTATCATACCATCACAAAAAGGGTTTGAAATTACAAAAAGATCCTGTATTAATGTTTTAAAATTATTTCAGGATGCAAATTGTCATAGAGATCTTTTCGAAGAGGGCATAAGTGTTATAATGATCGGAAAAGATGTGCTTAATGAAATTCAACAAACCATCAATCAATTTCCTAATTCCGATTTTAAAGTTCATGTTGAAGAATCTCCGGCTTTTCTAAATTATGATGGTTGTTTATCGAAAATTATAACTTTTGTCGATCAAATGGAGTCGTCTAATATTTTTGAGGTAATTGTTTTGACAGTTCACAATAAAAATTTAATTTCCGAATTTTAATGAGAAAAAAATTTTTTCTTTCCCCCCTTCCTTTCTTAGGTTCGACAAGAAATTTCAAAGCTAATTAGTGAATTAGAAACTTTTACAAATGAATTACGTGAATCAATTGAAGATTGGAAATCCAAATATACAGGATGGAATGGAAAGATTAGAAACAAAATAAAAGTACTTGCTAAAGTTGTGACATTAAAGAAATCACTTTCAACCTCTGAAAAGGAAATGAAAGATTGTGAAATCCCATCATATCATGTTGATCCTGTAAATCCACCCGTTGTTTTGGGAAATAAAAATCATGTTAAAAAGGGAACGTATGCTTATCATCATTCCGTTGCTGAAAAGTTGGTTGGAAAATTTGAAAGAGATGATCCAAAACTTCTTGAATTGAAAAAAGAAATAAGTTTCATGAAGGAGATGAGCAAATGCGAAAATATTCTTAAAGTGTAAGCATAGTTGGAAGTGATTTTTCTTTTTCTTTTTTTTTTAAGAAAGGTGTGTCAATACCTTTATCACGAAGACACTTTATAATTTATTATTATTATTATTATTATTTCGAATAGTTATGGAATGATACATCGAATGACAGGATATAGCGTAATTTCACGATGGGAAGATTACAAACTTCAAGACTACCTGTCTGAACATAAAAATTTGGAATGGGTAAATAAGTTGACGATTGCAAAAGGAATCGCCAACGCGCTGAATTATATTCATAAAAAAAAAATCTTGCATTATGATATAAAAAGGTATAGTACCCTTACGATAATTTAATAATTTGAATTATCATTTCAAATTATGAATTAATTTATTATTTATTATTAATATTTATTAGCGACAACATCTTCGTGGACTCGACTTTTCAAGCTAAACTCTACGGATTCAGATTCGAATCTGACTCTCCGATCGCGCTCAAATCAATAAATGAACAACGAGACCCCAGATGGACCCCTCCAGAGCTTTTTCAACAGCGTTCCTACACGCGACATAGCGAAATTTATAGGTAACTAACATTTTATAAATAATAATAATAAAAAAGAACTTATCAAGATGACTAACATCAAATATTTTTAAAATAAATAAATAAATGATATTATCACGTATAGCTTTGCCATCGTATTATGGGAAATAGCGAGCCAGAGAACTCCATTTGAAGAGAAAATTCTAGATGATATCAAATCATTAGTTCGCGATGGAGCACACCCTCAACCAGATTCGACCAGAGGTACACCAGTCGCGTATCAAAAAATAATGGAGAAAGGGTGGGACCTAGATCCTAAACAACGTCCAACCATTGAAGAAATGCTTAAGACGTTAAACGAATTGGAATCCGAGGAATTTCTTGGTCATAAAATTCCTAGAATAGGTGATGAAGAAAACGTCAGCAGCGGCAGCAGCAATGATAATAAAAGTGATGATGTCACGTCAGTCCATACAGATCATTCAATAGAATATATCTCCTCGGCCGGTTTAACTTCTAGCGCTCAATTGAGCAAGCGCAAAGGATTAGAAAAATTCAATCCTTTCCTTGTAGATTTAGATTTTGACAAAGCAATTAAATTACATCAAGAAAAACAATACAAAAAGGCATGGAAGGTATTTAAAGAAATTGAGAAGAGAACCGAGACTTCAGAAATAAAGTTTTGGGCTGGTTATTATTATCTAAGAGGTTTTTATAAAGGCAATAATCGGAAACCAAATGCAAAAGCAAGTATAAAATATTTATCTCAAGCAGCAAATGATGGTCAGCTTGATTCTCAATATTGGTACGCATATACGATCTTAAATTATAGGATGTCAGCTGAAGAACATAGTAGGGAGCATTATAAAGTTGCAATTGAATATTTACGTAAGGCTGCAAACCAAAATTATCCTTCCGCGTTGAAAGATTTAGGAATGATTATAAAGTATGGAAGATATGGTTGCGCTCATGATGTTGATAAAGGAAAAGATATGATTCGAAAGGCTCATACTATGAGCGTAAATTATTCTAGAGATGGGTTATCATTTGAAATCAACGATTCATCTCGTCAACGTACAGCCATATAATATTTAATCTTCAATTATTAAAATTATTTCTTTACAAAAAATTGTATAAAATTCAAATAAATCCATTAATATTATCATAATGATACAATCATGTGATGAAAACCTACAACTTTCACGCGTATTTAATGCGCGGTAAAATAAATTCAATATGTCAATTCTTACAGAAAACTTGTTGTACGATTGATTGTACATGTATTTCAAGGCCATAAGAAATTTTGAATAAAGGTATCCTAATTGCTTCTATTTAAAGAGCAAATATTAGATGGAAAAGAATCAATAAATTAAAATTTCTCATGAGACTTTAATTTTAATAACATTCATCTGTGGGATACTATTGAAGAGGACATCCGAAACCTTTAAGCGAATCCATAACCATACATAGACGTGGAATGATATTTTAATAATTTTTGTTTTCAATATTGCTTCAGATGCCCCGGTAAGTTTTATGAGGAGAAAGATTAGCGCGTCATTTCGATTCGATTCTTTTTGTTGAATAAATTTAAATTACGAATATCACAGTGATTTTATTTATAGATTGTTGAGTTTAACAATTAAATTTATTTGTATTCAACAAGAACAAAAAGAACGTAAATTGCCAAGCAATCCTTGTTGATAAAGAATAAATAAAATACCAACAATTTTTATATACATCGATTAAAATCTTTTTGCCAAAAAGGTTGTAGTTAAAAAGATTACATGAGGGAATATGGAATGACGATAAAGAAATATAAGAAATACACTCATAAAAAAAAAAAGATTTTTAGCTAGTGGTAATACTTCTATTTACCAAAGTCGCGAGGAATAGTTTTAAAGGATTTTAAATAAAAATTTAGGAATTTGACAACCAACCCTAATGATTTTAGATTTGGGCGACATAATTTGCCAAAATCTAAAATCATTAGGATTTGTTGGAATTCCCAACGAAATAAATGCTTTCAAATGGACAGTAGTTAATTTTAATAATGAACTAATTTCTCTACCTCCAACTCATTCATATTCTTTTTATAAATGTAAAGATATTTTGTATAAAGTTAAGGACAACTTCAATAATAAAGTTTAATATCTCCAAATGTCTTATCTGATTAACTGTACCTCATTGAAAAATAAAAAGCGACATTTGAAAATGAACTAGTTTTACTTTACCCAAAAGATAATGCTTCATGACAATCATATTTGTTACTTGAATGAAATGTATTTAGATAATGTGAGAAAAGGTGTTTTTTTTTAAAAAAAAAGAGAGAAAAAAATTTATTTTGAATTACGGAATTAATCCCTATGAATAACTGAGATATGTCCCGAAACATGATTACAAAATATCCGGAATATCTCTTCGTAAAGCATGCGATTTCAAACTTTTAAATGGTGATTATATTACTCTGCCAATAATTAATGTCAGTCTAACTCTCACCTAAACCCCATATTTATTGGAGTTTGTTGAATTCCCATGATTATGACTCGTTACATCGCGCGATTTAACAAATTTAGTATCTTGAAGGTCACAAGGCGCGTTAGATAATACATTATTAACGTGAAAAAAACTCCAATCAGTGTGATGAAAATCACAAATATAGACTTGTGTGAGAGAAACCGTGTGAAAAATTTGTTTTATACGTAAAATTTCAAAAAGGGTTTCCTGAAGCTCTGTCTGTATCAAATTAGTAATGACAGAATTTCTGTTTCAAAAACAAAGTTTTTTAAATCCTTGTATTAAGAGGATCATCATGAACAATAACAAAATATATCATTGGTACATTATGATTGTCTATAAGAACTTGGAATGATATTTAGAGAGATAGTAAATAAAATTCTAAAAGAAGAAATGAGTGGTATCCGATATCTTTTCGTCATATTTATGCAAATTAAACATAAGCCTATAAAAACGAGCAAAAGTTTTATTATCAAATCTAAATCTTAAAAAATCTCTCATTTCGCAAATGTTAAATTCAAACAATTTATTTCTAAATATGCAACACAAAAAAAAAAAGAAATTCCAAAACGCGATGAGATTATTATTGATAACATCAATTCCTTTTTTTCGAAAGATAAGTTCCAAAATATGCATCGAAAAGACAAAAGAACAGGATCAGTTTCTTTAAGCAATGGGCTATTTTTAATATTTAATAAATTTTTGAAAAAAATATTTTAAATAAAGATGCAAAAAACCAGAGTTGGGATTAAGTTTATTATTTACGTTTAATAAAAAATCCTTTGCCAAATTAAATTTTAAAACAGTAAAAAATAATATGAACACAATAATTAATAAAGAGAACTATAATTTTTTAATATAAATATTTTTCAAAGTTATCTAATTTCTGCCTATCATAAAATTCCTTCATTCCCCCCCTCATCCCCTACGACAGAAATTCCATATAATTAGCAGAGGTTATTAAACATTGAAGAAATTTCAATGATAGTGAAATTTCTTCGCGGCTCTTCGCGATTTCATCAAGAAATCGCACCTTTTGGAATAGTCCTTTGCTTTTTACTATTCTGCTATTCCATCTGAAAGTCCACCACCATCGAAGTGGTTGTATTTTCATTTTAGCGACGACGAACACAAATCAAGTACATTCTTTAGTTTGGTTTATAATCTCATAAATATTCAATAATGGGGTTATATGTATAATGATAATTGTTAAAAATGTTAAAAATGTGTATTAATTTGAAATTTATAAATGTATCGAAGTTCATAATAATAAATTATTTTCTGATTTTATAAAGTTTTTTTTCTTTAATGTTCCATCTGTTGAATTTTTTTTTTTTTTTTGATAGAAAGAATAAGTTTCAAAAAAAAGGTCATATTTATTAAGTTTATAGAATCGGCAGTGTTAACGGATTTGTATTTGTACTAGGGCTTAATAAGGCTTAGATAATTCACGATTTTAAAGCCACTGTCTTTGTTGCTAAAAGTGTATGAGCCCAACTTCCCTTTTTTGATAAGTTTTCTGCAACTCTTTGTTTTGAAAATCCGACCCACATAACTGACCCGCATACACTGTGACCCGCATACAATGTGATGGGTAATTCGCGGTTCATATGTTGAATATATTTAAATTTGGGACATCAATTTTGAAATATTAAATTAAATATTTGCAGTTTCTTTAAAGCAATATTTATCCCAACCATTTATTAAAAGGAAATAAAATACATAAATATATCATTCAAAAATCAATTAAATTTTTTTATTTTGTTTTAAATTTGACTCAAGATTTCCTTCGCAAAATGTATTGCATTAACAACATTATTGAAATGTTCATTGTTATTCAAGTCAATTTCGTCTTGACTCCAAGAATGATGTTTCAAAGTTATAAATCCTTGATTTTGAATTCCTTTTTTATCCTCTTGTCTGATGGTGGAAAACGTTAATTTGTAACATTTATTGCTTTAATTATAAATAAATTAGAGAAAAGAGAGAAAATATTAAGTTTTTTTGTTTAGAAAGAATTTAAAGAAAAAAAATGGTACCTAAAACGTCTTTTTTCTATGACCTGTCGTACGACAAGATTTTTAATATTTGGATTAATTTTCTTATACCATAACCCAGGTATATCTGTTTGAACATTTTCAAACCATTCCGCATTGAAAGTTTTTGGTAAGATTTCGAAATGTGTTTTAGCGGACAACCTGAAGTCAGGTATTTTGGACCCGGATAGAAAATCGAAATTTGCTAAATAAAAAAAAAAGATAAAATTTTAATTTATTTTTTTAAAAAAGGGAAACAGATCCAATTTTCGAATCAAATCAATCCTCACCAAGACGATTATAGTTACGAATGTGTTTGCTTATTTTCCATTTTTTCTCGTCTACATTCCATCTTAACTTCAATTTTCTTTTCACGTTTGGTTCAACATCATAATATATGTAGGATGTCCCTTTAAATTCTCCTTTTGCAACCTTCTTCTCGTCTTCTTTGAATTCGAAATGGTTTTTAAGTTTTTCGAAATTTTCCAGAAATGTTGGAGCATCTTGATTAAATTCGGAACTACCAATCCTATCGTCATCCCCACGGCGAGTTCTTGGCAACAATCTAAACTCAAGCCATTCTTGTAAAGTAAATGGTTTTTCGGGACTTTTGATTTCAAAAAATAAACACTTTCCAAAAAAAATTCTGGGTTTCAATATATATTTATCATTATTAGAGGGAGTTGATAATAATTGATTAAGGCATGGAGTTAAATTATCAAAACTTGTAAAGTTTGAAAGGGTGGTGGTGTTTTGGGCTATCTGAAGTTCATCTAACTTTCGTTCTAGTTCACCTTCATTACTTTTTTCCTTTTTAATGAAATATCGATCGAATTCATCAAATCTAACAAATTCGAATTTTGTATTTAGGTTCGATTCAGGTAATATGAAGTTGCCATATTTTGGGATAAAAGAAGCATTTTCAACAGTTTCTTTGATTAAAGTTAATGCCTTCTCACGTTGCTCGTGATCTCCAGCAATGTTCAGAATAACATCAATTCGTGCTCCTGACTTATTTCTAAAAGAGTATTTGTTTTTACAAAAAAGATATTTCAAAAAGATTGTATTAGGATATTTTTTTTTAAAAAAAAATAAATTAGAAAAACATACTCAAATGATTGAATTTTCCCCAGGACAGGAGAAGGCTTCTTACCGTGACTTGGTAGACTATAGGAATCCATCTTGGCTAACTTTGTAAATTTTTTTATTTTTATTTTTATTTTTTTTTAATGGTTGCTTACAGAAAAAACGTTTGAAACGCCAAAAAAAAACACTGCTTTTATTAAGAATTATGAGTGACACGTGAAAATTTCAACATTTAGATTATCTCGAGGATTTCATCTAATCGACCTAAGCCCTCATGAAAAATCTATTTACAGCTTAGCTTTTTAAAAAAAATTAAATCATTCAAAATCTATTTAAGCGAACAAAAACACCAAGCCGACAACATAAAGTACGTTGATCACATTGTTTCACAAAACGAATGTGATAAATCAGATAAATCAGAAAAAAAACCAGATTACCAGAAAATTTGCCCA